TGTTCATTGTAGATTGTCTCAATTACATTTGTAAAGTTTTTGCCAAAATCCATAGCTTTTATTTGCTGTATCATAAATTGCCAGTTCACATTATCAAAGGCTTTTTGGGCATCCAAGAAGATTAATGCCATTTGCTTCTCTGAATGTACCTCATAATGTTCTAATATGTCCAAGATTATCTTTAGGTTATACCTTAGTTGTCTTTTTGGCAAAAATCCATTTTGATCTGAATGGATGAACTCCATTAAAAACTTTTTCAATCTTTCCTCTATAATTACTGCAAAGATTTTATAGTCCACATTCAACAGTGATATTAGTCTAAAAATTTTTATATGTGTGGAGTCCGTATCTTCTTTTGGTATTAACGTGATATATGCCTCTAGCCATGTCTTGGGTATTTTAGCTTCTAGTAGGACTTCATTGCAGACCTCTTTTATTGGTAAGCTTATTATATCTTGGAAGGATTTATAAAATTCCGCTGGTAATCCGTCTGGTCCTGGAGTCTTATCATTTTTTTGTTTTTTAATTGCTTCCGTTACTTCCATCATTGTTATTTTCTCATTTAGGAGATTTTTAATGTTTTCTGGTACTTTAGGGAGATTTGCTTTTTTAATATATTGTGTTATCTTTTCAAGAGACACTTCTTGAGTGTCATAGAGATTAGCATAATATTCTTTAGTTGTTTTTTATTTGCTCTTTTTATATTGGAAGTCTCCGCTTTGATCTTGTAGCTTCGTTATCAGTTTTGTTTTTCTTTTGTCAATCTATAGGATAGCCATCTTCCAGGTTTGTTGGCATTCTCGAAGAAATTTTGTTTAGCTCTTTTGACTTGTTGAGCTAATTCTTCTGATTCTATTAAGTTTAATTTATGTTTCACTATCTCCATCTGGTTTTTAAGAGTTTTCTTCTGTGGTTCTTTTTGTAAGAAAGCAATCTTTGTCATTACACCTGTAGCCATTACATCTGCATTTTTAAGAGTCCCCTTGCCTGAATTGTGTCAAGAAAATGGGCCTGTCTACACCGGCATATAGATATGATATATGGATTTTTGTTGGCATGGCTTGGATTGGGGGAAAAACCTTGTCTACAGGTGTTTCTACTTAGAATGATGCATCTTCTTCTTTTAGAGCTTGCCTCTCACCTTTCTGGCCCAGCAGTCCAGTGGTAACTCATGTATTCTTTTTTTGCATGCTCATTGTTTAGCCTGGATATCTGTCTCTATCTGTCTCTGTCTTTGTGGCTACAGATTCCAAGATAAAAGAGAGAAAGTGGTGGGAGAATGAGGGAAGCGAAGGAGGGACGGGGGAAGGGAGAAAACAGAAATGCACAATAAAGGGAGAGAGGAGAGAGATTAAAAAAAACACCTGAACCTCTGCAGATGATTGAAGAAGCACTTAATTGACAGTTGATCGGGCTTCGAGGAGTCGTTTGCTGTTTGGATATGAAGAGCATGCCAAATGATGCATCACTCCTCCCCATGACCTCTGCAGACCCTTTATAGACTGATATACCCGACAACCAAAATGGCCAGTTTGTACAGGCTCTCTGTTTCAGCCATCTGAATACTAGTCCTCAGATTGTGTATTGGGCTGGGGTAGAGCAGCTGAGGTAGGATGATTTGCCTACCCCAGTTCTCCTTGGAAGAATGAGCAGGATATTTATCTATATGAAAATCATTACTTGATTTCTTGCAAAGATTTGCAGTATGTGGAATTCTACAATTTCTTGCAAAAATTGCCGGGATGCATTAGCCTGTTGCAGCAAAAATAGCAGAAATTTTGGTGATACAATAAGGATGAGTAAGTTCTGTTTGCCTTCTGTAGACTGCAACCCACTTCATCTGACAAATAGAGTGTAAAGTTTTTTACTTTTGCCCAAAAGACTAATATAGCTATCCCCATCATAATTTTTATATCATATAGCACTGAACTCCTCATTAAACGTCATGAGTTTAATTGTTAAGAATGTGGATTCTAACTTTACATATGCTAAAATTAGTAAAAAGAAGCAGACACATTGATTATAGATCTCAGAAGTAGAGTTTCTGATGTACTTTACGTGATTGGATACTTTGGATATTGCTTATAGTATGTTTTAGTATTGAAATTTATATTTGTTGATGTTAAAGTTGATTAGAGGGAGTGGAGTGGAGGTTATATGTGATATTGTTATACAGAAATTAGTTCAGGTATAGTGAATTATAGTCTCAAATAGAATTATAGTCTCAAAATCCTGTGAGGTACTAGTTCCCCTCTGTTTGGTACTGGTTAGGTCTCATCTTGAGTATTGTGTCCCAATGCACTCTCTAATTTTCAGCCATGTTGGGCGGTGCTCTGCCTCTCTCTCATATGACTTCTCCCCTGTGTGTACAACTCTGTCCCCCCCCACACAAAGCAATTGTCATGGCTTTCTCCCCACAATTATGAAGGATAATGAGTACAAGAGCACATAAACGTTAACTTTGCTGGTACCCAGACAAGGTGTTCTGCCAAGATCTGTTTCGAATTTGACCTTGTCCAAAATACTGTATTCCTAGCCTTCCTCCCACTCATCCCAGTTGATGTTGATAAATAAGTCTTTCAACATGCTAGATGTAAGAAAGTTTTTGGCTTTTTGCATCCAGATAACCTATTATTTTAGAAAGTCACCTCACTTTTCTTCTCTGCGTATTCTAGACCCAAGAAAGGCCAAGCCATTTTTACTCAAAGATTTGCAAGTGAGTCATGAAACAGTCACATTAGCTTACCAAGAGAAGTTTTCCTACCATTTCCAAAAGGCATTGTATCAGGACTGTTGTGAATTTTTCCACCCACTACAGCCCATGTCCCAAGCAGAAAATCAGAAAGATAGCTGCAAAATACATGGTAGTCATTTATTATATTCAAACAAATAGACAAACAAAAAGTCAGCAACTTGACAGAAATATACATTTGTTAGAGTAAGCAAAATAAAAACTGTGCTTCTCTCAGAATCCGCAAATCCTTATATAGTTTAAATTAAGTCAACCCATTCATTACATCAGGAGAAAGTCTTCTTTTATAAAAAAAAACTATCCAAAACATGCTTTCAGAGAGACATGTAACAGACAAATGACACATGTATAATACTTTATACATTTTTAATGGGTTCACAGTGTTCTTGAACTTCTTGCTTATTGTGTTAAAGAAGTGTCATAATGTAGCTAAAGTCTTAAAGTAATTAACATATTCCTAGTGGTGAATACATTTACATTTTTTGGATGGCTATGCTATTCAATAAAATCATTTTTCAAATATTTATGTAATGTGAAAGTGTTGGCTGATAAATCCAGTGCCTTTGCAGTTTTGAGTCACCACCACTGCATTCCCTTGTCATTTTGTATTTATAACTAAATGTTATTTTTGTTTTTAGGTAAGTTTTTGGGTTGTCAGAGAGATTCTTCACGCACAGACCTTAAAAATAAGAGCTGAAGTTCTAAGCCACTATATTAAAACTGCTAAGGTAAGAAGATATTTGGAACTTGTCAAGGCTAAATTGGTAGACCCAAAGTAGAAATGTGGCTCCATTTATCTGTGTTAATGGGGAGATGTTTGGCTTTAGTAGATATGTATCTTCTAACTTGGAATATTGGAACAAAATAATAATATTGGATTATTTTCTGGAAAAATATCAATAAGTAATGATCCACTTGGAGAGTCAGGTGGCAGTAGTATTTATTTGGAGTGCAGTTGTGAAAATAATAGTGCATTTTTTCATTTGACTCCAGTGAAACTTGTGCTGGAGTCCTGAGCATTTTGGAACTAAATCCTGCTGAATTTAATTATTTCAGCTTCCAAGTAAATATGTTTTCATAGAATTATAGAATCATAGAATTATAAAGTTGGAAGAGACCACGGGCCATCGAGCCCAACCCCCTGCCATGCAGGAACTCCATCAAAACACTCCCGACATATGGCCATCTGGCCTCTGCTTAAAAACCTCCAAATAAGGAGACTCCACTACACTTGAAGGCAGCATATTCCACTGCTGAGCAGCTCTCACTGTCAGGAAGTTTTTCCTGAGATTCAGATGGAATCTCTTTTCCTGTAGTTTGAAACCATTGCTCCTTGTCCTAGTGTCTGGAGCTGTGGAAAACAAACCTGTCCCTTCCTTGACATGACATCCCTTCACATATTTAAATATGGCTATCATGTCCCCTCTTGACCTTCTTTTTGTAAGGCTAAACATTCTCAGCTCCCTAGGCTGATCCTCATATGACATGGCTACCAGACATTTGATCATTTTGGTCACCTTCCTCCAGCCATGTTCCAGGTTGTCAACATCCTTCTTGAATTGAGGTGCCCAGAACTGGACACAATACTCCAGCTGAGGTCTGACCAAAGCAGAATAGAGTGGTGCTATCACTTCCCTTGATCTAGACACTATACTCCTTTGATGCAAGCAAGAATCACATTGGCTTTCTTGGCAGCTGCATCACATTGCTGCCTCATGTTCATTTTGTGATCTACCAAGACTCCTAGATCCCTTTCACAGGTACTGTTGTCCAGCCAGGTGTTTTCCATCCTATATCTGTGCCGTTTATTTTTTCTGCCCAGGTATAGGACCTTACATTTCTCCCTGTTGAAATTCATTTTGTTAGTTTTGGCCCAGGACTCTAATCTGTCAAGGTCATTTTGAATTTTAATCCTGTCCTGTGGGGAATTAGTAACCCCTCCCAATTTGGTATCATCTGCAAATTTAATCACCATACTCTCTATTCCTTCATCCAAGTCATTGATAAAGATGGTGAACAGCACAGGGCCCAGAACAGAACCCTGAGGCTCCCCACTGGTTACCTCTCTCCAGGATGAGGAGAAGCCATTAGTGAGCACACTTTGGGTTCGGTCAGTCAATCAATTACAAATCCACCGAACAGTAGCACTGTCTAGCCCAGATTTTACTATCTTCTATGCAAGAATATCATGGGGAACTTTGTCAAAGGCCTTACTGAAATCAAGTTATGCTAGATCCACAGTGTTCCCTTAATCTAAAAAAATGAGATCAGATTAGTCTGGCATGACTTGTTTTTGAGAAACCCGTGTTGACTTTTAGTGATGACAGCATTGCTTTCTACGTAATAACAAACTGTCTGTTTAATGATTTGCTCTAGAATTTTTCCGGGAATTGATGTCAGGCTGACTGGGCAATAATAATTTGAGTCTTCTTTTTTTCCCTTTTTGAAGATAGGGATAACATTTGCCCTCCTCCAGTCTGTGGAGACTTCTCCTCTTCTCCAAGAATTCTCTTGGAGAATGCATTCTTGGCATACAGTCTCATCTGCAATTGCACACCCAACTTGTAACTTTCCACAGCTCTTTCTATCATCCCAGGCTGGTACACCATTAGTAAGTAAAGTTTTGGTTATCAGTCCTGAGTAACAGCCTTGGCTCATCTTCACAGGAACATACAGTCTCCAGGCATGATGAACACCTGCAAATCAGGGGATATAAGTACTACAAAACCATGTTAACATAGTGAATGACCAGCCCCTACCAGGCTTATCACTTCTCAAATAACCTTCCTTTAAAGGGCTTGACTCCAGTCATTAAACATACTACTAGACCAAACAGTCTATATTCTCTTTATTACAAAGTAACAACTTACAGGGAAACAGATTTAGACACCAGCTTTTCTTCAGTTACCACCCAACTGCCTTTCATTCCAGCTTTCCTGGATCCTCCTCCTTCAGGCTCTCCCAAATAGGCTGACCACCTGCACCTCCCAGCCAATCACTTTGTTTTCCCTGTTACCATGCCGAGGGTGTCACATTCCTCGGAGACTTGAGTTTATTTAGAGTAGCCAGGTATTCCTGTACTACTTCTTTACCTATTCTGTGCTGCATTTCCCCCCTACATCACCTGCTCTTTGCCCTTCAGGTTGAGCATTATTTTCCTTTTTGTAGAAAACACAGGCAAAGAAGGTGTTAAGAAGTTTAGCCTTTTCCCTGTCCTCTGTTAGTAGTTGGCCACCTTCTCCATGCAGCGACCCTATCTTCTTCTTCATGGCCTCTGTGAATCCACACAAATGGGTTAGACTGCACCTGCGCAGGATTCCTCGGAATATTTTAGAGCTTAAAAACATGTGATTGGTAGGATTTTTTCCCTTGGCACGTATGCTCCGCCCACTCATAATAACACAATTCCTTTTAGCTGCCACTGAATTCGGACTCCTTTAGCGACTACTAGAGTGATTTCTTGTCTCACAGTTTTTCTGATCTTACAGACTGCTTAAAGTTTACGATTATTGGATCATGGACTTAATCTAGCTCTTCATTTATGGATGTTTCCCTGTGAGTTTTCTTTTAGTTTTGTTTCCCCCCTTCCCACCTTTTTATGGCCTCTTCAGACCCATTCAAGTGTTGTATGATGAGTGCTAAAAAAACTCCATTTACTGACGGCCACAATCACTGCTTGTTTTGTCTGGATGAGAGGCATCAGACTAACTCCTGTCGTGAGTGTAAAAAGTTAACCAAACCAGCTCTCCGGTTATGACGACTTCGATCATATTTGTGGAAAAAGTCTTTGAGACCTTCAGTCCTGCAACCAGTCCCACAATGGAACCTACTACTGCTCTCTGTTCCATTGGCTCCAGCTACTCCTTCCCTGAAGACTTCTTCAAAGGCACCCAGACCAAAACTTCTTCGGTGTCAACATCAACCTCAGTGTCGAAGATGTGCTTCGTCTCAAGGACCGATCTCCTAAGAAAAAGAAGGATGGAGCTAAACAGAAGAAAACTAAACGGGCTTCTAAATCTCATTAGCCCTATGAGCCTCCAGCTGTCCAAATTTCCCTCCCATCCCCAATCTTGGAGGAATCATCAAGAGACATCCTGGATCCGGACTCTCTTTTGGAAACTGGAGAATCAGGACCACCTCCTCAGGCTCAAGCTTCGGTATTGATACCGAGCTTGTCCCCAAGTCATGCCGTTCTGAGGCTGATGTCATCTCCATCCCGGTATTGACCCATTGTGGCCCTGTTTCTATTGGGCAGACAATGGTGATTCAACTTTCCAACTTGGAGGCTTTGGCTCCGCAGTCTCCTCCACGTAAGCGGTCAGCCAAACGTCACCTCAATAATATCCTCAGTATCGGGAGGTGATTCTCATTCCTTTTCCGTCTCAATGCCGTTCAGCTTCGGAATATAGGTAACCCCTTTATGCTGGGTTCAGTCAACATGGCGATCAGCATCGATACCAACCTGAGGAGTTTGATCCCCATTATGGTGCAGACTGTTACAGGTGACCCAAGCATATGCATTATGCTTATGCCTCTCCTTCGGAATCCTCACCATCACCTTCACCTCCTCCTGCTTGGTGTCAGCATTGAGCTTATTACCAGCTCAGTCCTGTGGTACCGGTACTGAGGAAATCAGATACTAAACATGGCATGCCACAGCTTGACACCCCTTGAAGGGCGGCAGTCCCCTTGAAGCACGCATGCATGTCCTCGGCACCGTCAGCATCAGTATCGCACCTGAGTGTTCCTGGGGCCTGCTTATCCCCTCACGTTTCGGCTTCAGTGTTGACCCCTAAGATTCCAGCTTCTGCATCTCAGGCTCACCACCGTTCTCCTTCTCCTCCTCTCTCTATCTCCAGAGCTTCTTCAGTTTCGACAGCTTCTGAGCAGGATCCTCCTTCTGAAACTTCCAGGGAGTCCCCTTCAAACTTGCCTACCACAGATTTGGTTGTGGCAGATGTGCATCCACCATCCCCGTCCAAGGACTTTACGTCCTACTCCCAACTAGCTCTGCATATGGCCAAGTCTTTGGAGCTTGATACTGAGCAGCCTCCTCCTCCTAAGCATGATCTCGCATTTGACAATATAAATCAAGAGGAATCCACTCTGTCAAGTTTAGCATTCATATCAGCTATGTTGGACCTTATTAAATAACCATGGGACAAGCCATCTACGTCTTTACAAATTTCCAGATGTGTTGAGAACCATTATCGGACACATGGACCCAGCACAGCCTTCCTTGTTAAGCACCTGTCTCCAAACTCCATTATAGTACAATCCAATCAGTCACATGCCGGTAACCGATCAACAGTCACTCCTACCAACAGGGAGGGTAGAAAGCTGGACGTACTAGGTCGTCATCTGTATTCCCCGGCCTCCATTATCATGAGGGTTTCAAACTACCAGGCTGCAATAGAGGCTTATCACAGACAATTGTGGAACAAGATCCTTCCAGTCCTTCACTCTGTGCCTGAGGAGACTAGAGCTGGTGCCCTCAATACCCACCTTGAGGCCACTACTCTGGCTAAGCAGCAGCATCTAGCACCTCGCCATATAGCTGATGCTGCCTCAAAGGCCTTGGCTTCTGCTATTGCCCTCAGAAGGCATGCATTGCTATGTTCAGCAGGAATCACTGACGATCTCTCTTTTGATGGTGTTGGCCTTTTAAATGATGCACCTTCCCCTTTGGATTTTCCACTGCTCCAAGAACTTTCATGAAGTGTCTGGC